GATCACTCAAACATCAGCCACTACCTTGGACCACATATGGACAAACATAACAGCTCCTCTTGTATCTGGTATAATCTACGACAGAACAACTGACCACTATCCTACCTTTCTCATAGCGAACATGGACATAACACCACCAAATAGCAGAAACTTTCATTTAGGCTACACAGTGAATCAGCTTTAGGCAATCTTACAGATGCACTTCACAATATTAACTGGGATTCTGAATTCAATAATACCCATGATATAAATTCATTAGCTAACTTCTTCCTCTCCAAAACTCTAAGCCTCTACAACCTTCATTGTCCCCTTCTTACCAAGCAAGTAACTGACAAAAGATTAAACAATCCATGGCTCACAAGTGGCATTCTCAACTCAATCAACAAGAAACATGAATATGAAAAGAACTTAGGATTGGCCTAGTTTCAAAGGAAGTAGCTAAAAGGTACTCATCAATGCTTACCAGTATCATAAGAAAGGCAAAACTTGCATATTATGTGAATAGATTCAATGAAGCAAAAGGCAACACGAAAAACACTTGGAAAACAATCTCTAGTATCCTAGGAACTAAACAACACTCACATAACCAAATAAAACTCTACAAGGATGGGGATATACCGTCAACTGATTTAGAAATGGCAAATGAATTTAATAGTTTCTTTTCATCGGTTGGTGCTAATCTTGCCAGTAAAATCCCACAGACTCAGACACATATTAACACACATCTCTCAGGCAGCTATCCAAGCTCTCTTCTCCTTTCACCAATCAGCCCGGCAGATGTTATGTCCATCATACACTCTCTAAAAACCAAGGCAGGGAACACCAGTGAAATTCCGTCCATTGTGTACAAGAGAGCCTCCCATGCCCTTGCCCCACCCATAGCACTACTGTTCAACAAATCTATAGAGTATCACACCTTCCCTGATATCCTCAAAAAAGCAAGAGTAACGCCAGTCCATAAAGGAGGCAATCCGGCGGACATAAACAATTATAGACCAATATCAAATCTACCCATTTTATCAAAAATATTTGAAAAAAATATTTATAACAGCTCTATTCCTACCTCGTAAAATCGACATACTCAGCCCCTGCCAGTTTGGCTTCCGGTCCCAAAAGAGCACCAACGATGCAATCATTAGTCTCCTTGACGTTATCTACTCAGCCCTTGACAAAAATGAGTTTCCGATTGGACTCTTCATTGACCTAAGAAAAGCCTTTGATACTGTTAATCACAACTACCTCTTACTTAAACTCCAGCATTATGGAATCTGAGGCCTTGCCCTTGACTACATCCAATCCTATCTTAGTGACAGACACCAATATGTAACCATCAATGATACAACTTCTTCCACTCTACCAATTACCGTTGGAGTGCCACAGGGCAGTATCTTAGGACCTCTTCTATTTCTTATATATATATAAACGATCTGCCTAATGTCTCTAATATTCTCAAACCTATATTGTTTGCTGATGATACTACCCTTATCTATTCAGACCTCAACCCACATACACTAAATAATGTTGTGAATAATGAATTAAAAAAAGTCCACTTATGGATGTCAACGAACAAACTAACACTTAATGTAGAAAAGACTTACTACATCTTATTTGGAAGCAAATCATTAAATGCAATTCAGCTACAGATAGACAACATTAACATCAGTAATAAAATGATGGCAAGTTTCTTGGCCTATTCCTAGACAAGAGACTCAACTTCAGCACCCACATTCAACACATAACGAAGAAAGTCTCTAAGACAGTTGGTATACTCTACAAAATCAGATATTATGTACCTAACTCTGCTCTCCTCTCACTATATTATGCACTAATCTACCCCTATCTTAATTATGGTATCTGTGCATGGGGGTCTACCACTGCAAACCACCTTAAGCCCATCATCACACAGCAAAAATCTGCTATCAGAATAATAACTAACTCTGCTTTCAGACAACACTCAGCTCTCTTGTTTAAATCCCTAAACTTGCTAAATATTAACTCCCTCCACACATTCTCTTGTGTCAACTACATTTACAAAACCCTTTTCTTAAATGCAAACCATGCTCTGAAACTCTCCCTGGACAGATGTAATAGGACCCATTATCACCACACTAGAAATAAATATCTCTTTGATATCCCTAGGGTCAAACTTAATCTGTGTAAACACTCAATGCAAATTAAGGGACCTAGTCTATGGAACTCACTCCCTAGTGAATTGAAAAACTGTAAAACTTTTGCCATATTTAAAAGCAAAACCAAAAAGTACCTAATTTCATCTTCTTAGTTTCCTACACTGAGCTTTAAATTTGCTCTGTACCTAGTGTTACCCAATCTCCTAATTTTTATGTAGTATCAAACAACCTTATCATTGTGTTCATTGCTGTCTTCTTTTATGTGATAGCCATATGCTGTATTGTGACTACCAATTTTTGTCAACTACCATTCAAGCTGTCATTGCAATCAATCTTATATTGTTTCTTCTGTATTGTGCCTACCAATTTTTGTCAACTACCATTCAAGCTGTCATTGCAATCAATCTTAGCTACCTATGTGCTTTTAATATACTATACCTACAATTTTCTGTCATCTTCTTTTTTTCATTCCATGTAACTGTTATCATTTTTTTTGTCTATAAATTTTGCAAGTATTTACCTACTTAAAATTTTCTTAGATTAAGGACCTGCCCGAAACGCTGCGCATACTAGTGGCTTTACAAGACTGTAATTACCATATTATGTATCCTCACATTCCCAATGTACCTTCTTGTATATGCATAAATAAATAAATAAATAAATAGGTCCCTCTATTTGTATAGAGTGTTTACACCCATTAAGTTTGACTGGGGATATCATAAGAGATTTATGTCTGGTGTGGTGATTATATGTTCTATTATACCTGTCCAGGAAGAGTTTCAAATCAGGGTTTGCACTTAAGAAAAGGGTTTTGTAAATGTAGTTGACACAAGAGAATGTGTGGAGTGAGTTTATGTTTAGCATGTTTAGGATTTAAACAAAGGGGCTGAGTGTTAAATGAAAGCAGAGATTGTTATTGTTCTGATAGCTGATTTTTGCTGGGTAGTGATGAGCTTGAGGTAGTTTGCAGAGGTTGAACAGATGCCATAAGTAAGATAGGAATAGATAAGTGCATAATATAGTGAGAGGAGAGCAGAGTAGGAAGATAATATCTGATCTTAGAGAGTATACCAACTATTTTAGAGACTTTCTTGGTTATGTGTTGTATGTGGTACTGAAGTTGAGTCTCTTTGTCTATGTATAACCTAGGAACTTTCCATCATTTTTATTGCTGATGTCAACATTGTCTATCTGAAGCTGAATTGCATTTGTTGATTTGCTTCCAAATAAGATGTAGTAGGTCTTTTCTGTGTTTAGTGTCAGTTTGTTGGTTGACATCCATAAGTGGACTTTTTTTTTTAATTCATTGTTGACAACATTATTTAATATGAGTTGGTTGGGGTCTGAGTAGATGAGGGTAGTGTCATCAGCAAACAATATCGGCTTAAGCATGTTAGAGACAATAGCAGATCATTAATGTATATAAGAAATAGGAAGGGTCCTAAGATGCTGCCCTGCCCTGCCCTGTGAGACTAGGTATTTGCTCCCCCTGACTCCATGTATGACTAACTATCCTGTGAGATGGGAATATTAGATGAACTTATGACTGTTTTTTTATCTACACTCTTTCATATGGAATAGGGTAGCAGCACATTGCTATGTATAACCTAAGCTTATTAATAATAAAAACGCTTCTATATGTGAATTCAGAGACAATTCTATAACAAGTGTTCCTAAGATGTCTAAATGTTTAATTCAATATGATCTGCTACCAGAAATTTAAGCCAAATATCCCCAGTTTGCTAACTGTAGGTAGTAACTAAGTGATTGTAACCTATCCACCCTCTGCCCACTGGATGGGGGGCAGTGTGCATGATAAACAAATCAAATCAAATGTTTATTCAGGTAAAGTACATACAAGGTGAGATACAAACATTGATGGAATTATAGATAGAGCTAGTGCATGCAATGCCTAAAGCCGCTATTACACAAAGCGTTTCGGGCAGGAAAAACACTAAGAATAAACTTAATACTAATTGAGATTAAAGTATAAATTGTGTTGAGAAAATAAAAAATAAAGGGTGGGGAACATGGCAGAAAATAGCTTATATACAATTTGGTCAGCAAACAGCATTGTTTAAATAGTAGACATGGGTTGACATTTAGGGGTAAGGTAGGTTACAAGGAGTTAATTAGGTAGTACTTAGTTTTTATCTTAAACTGGTTGGGAGAGGTACAGTCTTTAACATGAATGGGAAGGTCATTCCACATTCTGGGTCCCTTGATTTGAAGGGCATTTCTAGTTTGATTAAGTCGTTCTCTTGGAATATCAAATAGGTATTTGTTTCTGGTGTGATGCTCATGGGATCTGTTACAACCTTTTAGGAAGCTTTTAAGGACAGGATTGCCATTACAGTTCAGCGTTTTTATATATATATATATATATATATATATATATCTATATATATATATATATATATATATATATATATATATATATATATATATATATATATATATAATACACATGAGAGGATGTGCAGTGACTTAATTAATATCTAATATATTCAGAGATTGAGTAAGGGTACCGAGTGATGTCTGGGGCCAGAGTTAGATGTTGTCCTAATAGCAGCTTTGTGTTGAGTAATTAGAGGACGTAAATGATTTTGGGTAGTAGAACCCCAAGCACAAATACCACAGTTGAGATAAGGGTAGATGAGAGAGTAATAGTGTGTCACCAGGGCAGGGCGAGGTACATAATGTGACGACTTATACTGAATTTTGTAACTAGCTCGTCAAGATTGTAACTTGCTTAGCTGTATGAATTGTGGGGTTCAGTCCCTGAGCCCATTATGTGCCTCTGTAACCCTTTCCACTACCGCCAAATGATGGGCATGAGGTGCATAATAAATGAACTAAAAAAAATTTTTTATCATATATATTTTTATCAATTAATATATTTATTAATATTTACTATATATTATGGTTAAATAAAATGTAAGTAGTTAATATCCAAAAGCTGGGAAAAAATGTTAAATCAAATCTAGAAGTTCTAGATTGGAAAGAAACAGAGACCATCAGTGCCATCTTGAAGGAAGGCGAGCCACCTGACCTCTCCGCGGCATCTCTCACGGCAAGCAGGTATCGTCCTATATATGATTGTAGTAAACCTGCTGACTATATCTTCATATATATATAATTATCTCCCTTCTGACCATTGTCATAAGTGAGGCTGTACTGATACCCCATATGAGTGAGCTTCAGCTGGCTGCTATCCAGCTACCGCTGCCCTTCGGGTTGAGGGGGGTTTCCGCGCCAGCTGGCCTGGGATGGTGCTCATCCACTGGAACCCCCCAAAACTGATAGGCTCCATAAATTTATAATATATATTTGCATTATAATAAATTTATTATAAAATTTACACATCCGTCACAGCCGCCATCCGCCCGTCACAGCCGCCATCCGCCCGTCACAGCCGCCATCCGCCCGTCACAGCCGCCATCCGCCCGTCACAGCCGCCATCCGCCTGTCACAGCCGCCATCCGCCCGTCACAGCCGCCATCCGCCCGTCACAGCCGCCATCCGCCCGTCACAGCCGCCACCACCACCAGTGTGTGTGTGTTCAGGTGTGTGCTGTGTGGGTGTGTGTGTGGGAGGAGGTGTAGGCCTCATGATGGGATGACATGGGGCTCTGTGGGTCGCCACGGTCAAGGCGTCTGAAACTTACAATTTATTGCAGCAAGGCCATCACCCCCCACCTGCTCCCTCCACCATCACCCCCCCCCACCTGCTCCCTCCACCATCACCCCCCCCACCTGCTCCCCTCCACCATCACCCCCCCACCTGCTCCCTCCACCATCACCCCCCCCACCTGCTCCCTCCACCATCACCCCCACCTGCTCCCTCCACCATCACCCCCCACCTGCTCCCTCACCATCACCCCCACCCCCCACCACCATCCCCCCCTGCTCCCTCCACCATCACCCCCACCTGCTCCCTCCACCATCACCCCCACCTGCTCCCTCCACCATCACCCCCACCTGCTCCCTCCACCATCACCCCCACCTGCTCCCTCCACCATCACCCCCACCTGCTCCCTCCACCATCACCCCCCACCTGCTCCCTCCACCATCACCTCCCTCCCCCCACCTGCTCCCTCCACCATCACCCCCCACCTGCTCCCTCCACCATCACCCCCCACCTGCTCCCTCCACCATCACCCCCCACCTGCTCCCTCCACCCCCCCACCTGCTCCCTCCACCATCACCCCCCACCTGCTCCCTCCACCATCACCCCCACCTGCTCCCTCACCATCACCCCCCACCTGCTCCCTCCACCATCACCCCCACCTGCTCCCTCCACCATCACCCCCCACCTGCTCCCTCCCCTCCCCCCCACCTGCTCCCTCCACCCCCCCCCTGCTCCCTCCACCATCACCCCCCCACCTGCTCCCTCCACCATCACCTGCTCCCCCACCATCACCTGCTGCTCCCTCCACCATCACCCCCCACCTGCTCCCTCCACCATCACCCCCCACCTGCTCCCTCCACCATCACCCCCCCCACCTGCTCCCTCCACCACCCCCCACCTGCTCCCCCCACCATCACCCCCACCTGCTCCCTCCACCATCACCCCCACCTGCTCCCTCCACCATCACCCCCCCCACCTGCTCCCTCCACCATCCACCACCCCCACCTGCTCCCTCCACCATCACCCCCCACCTGCTCCCCCACCTCACCCCCCACCTCTCCCTCCACCATCACCCCCCCCACCTGCTCCCTCCACCATCACCCCCCACCTGCTCCCTCCACCATCACCCCCCACCTGCTCCCTCCACCATCACCCCCACCCTCCCTCCACCATCACCCCCCACCTGCTCCCTCCACCATCACCCCCCACCTGCTCCCTCCACCATCACCCCCCACCTGCCCCTCCACCTGCTCCCTCCACCATCACCATCCCCCACCTGCTCCCTCCACCCACCCCCCATCACCATCCCCCCACCTGCTCCCTCCACCATCACCCCCACCTGCTCCCTCCACCCACCATCACCCCCCACCTGCTCCCTCCACCATCACCCCCCACCTGCTCCCTCCACCATCACCCCCCACCTGCTCCCTCCACCTGCTCTCCTCCACCATCACCCCCACCTGCTCCCTCCACCACCATCACCCCCACCCCCCCCACCTCCCTCCACCATCACCCCCCACCTGCTCCCTCCACCATCACCCCCCCCCTGCTGCTCCCTCCACCATCACCCCCCACCTGCTCCCTCCACCATCACCCCCCACCTGCTCCCTCCACCATCACCCCCCACCTGCTCCCTCCACCATCACCCCCCACCTGCTCCCTCCACCATCACCCCCACCTGCTCCCTCCACCATCCCCCCCACCTGCTCCCTCCACCATCCACCACCCCCCACCTGCTCCCTCCACCACCTGCTCCCCCCCACCTGCTCCCCCTCCACCATCCCTCCACCATCACCCCCACCTGCTCCCTCCACCATCACCCCCCACCTGCTCCCTCCACCATCACCCCCACCACCTGCTCCCTCCACCATCACCCCCCACCTGCTCCCTCCACCATCACCCCCCACCTGCTCCCTCCACCATCACCCCCCACCCCCTCCCTCCACCATCACCCCCCACCTGCTCCCTCCACCATCACCCCCACCTGCTCCCTCCACCATCACCCCCCACCTGCTCCCTCCACCATCACCTGCTCCCTCCACCCACCCCCCACCTGCTCCCTCCACCATCACCCCCCACCTGCTCCCCCACCTGCTCCCTCCACCATCACCCCCCCACCTGCTCCCTCCACCATCACCCCCACCTGCTCCCTCCACCATCACCCCCACCTGCTCCCTCCCCTCCTGCTCCATCCACCATCACCCCCACCTGCTCCCTCCACCATCACCCCCACCTGCTCCCTCCACCATCACCCCCCCACCTGCTCCCTCCACCATCACCCCCCCACCTGCTCCCTCCACCATCACCCCCCACCTGCTCCCTCCCCCACCTGCTCCCCTCCATCACCCCCCATCCCTCCACCATCACCCCCCACCTGCTCCCTCCACCATCACCCCCCACCTGCTCCCTCCACCATCACCCCCCACCTGCTCCCTCCACCATCACCCCCCACCTGCTCCCTCCACCATCACCCCCCCACCTGCTCCCTCCACCATCACCCCCACCTGCTCCCTCCACCATCACCCCCACCTGCTCCCTCCACCATCACCCCCCACCTGCTCCCTCCACCATCACCCCCCACCTGCTCCCTCCACCATCACCCCCCACCTGCTCCCTCCACCATCACCCCCCACCTGCTCCCTCCACCATCACCCCCACCTGCTCCCTCCACCATCACCCCCACCTGCTCCCTCCACCATCACCCCCCCACCTGCTCCCTCCACCATCACCCCCACCTGCTCCCTCCACCATCACCCCCCCACCTGCTCCCTCCACCATCTCCACCCCCCCCACCTGCTCCCTCCACCATCACCCCCCCCCTGCCCCTGCTCCCTCCCATCACCCCCCACCTGCTCCCTCCACCATCACCCCCCACCTGCTCCCTCCACCATCACCTGCCCCCCACCTGCTCCCTCCACCATCACCCCCCACCTGCTCCCTCCACCATCACCCCCCACCTGCTCCCTCCACCCCACCCCCCACCTGCTCCCTCCACCATCACCCCCCACCTGCTCCCTCCACCATCACCCCCACCTGCTCCCTCCACCATCACCCCCCCACCTGCTCCCTCCACCATCACCCCCACCTGCTCCCTCCACCATCACCCCCCACCTGCTCCCTCCACCATCACCCCCACCTGCTCCCTCCACCATCACCCCCCACCTGCTCCCTCCACCATCACCCCCCACCTGCTCCCTCCACCATCACCCCCCACCTGCTCCCTCCACCATCACCCCCCCACCTGCTCCCTCCACCATCACCCCCACCTGCTCCCTCCACCATCACCCCCACCTGCTCCCTCCACCATCACCCCCCACCTGCTCCCTCCACCATCACCCCCCCACCTGCTCCCTCCACCATCACCCCCCACCTGCTCCCTCCACCATCACCCCCACCTGCTCCCTCCACCATCACCCCCCACCTGCTCCCTCCACCATCACCCCCCCACCTGCTCCCTCCACCATCACCCCCCACCTGCTCCCTCCACCATCACCCCCCACCTGCTCCCTCCACCATCACCCCCACCTGCTCCCTCCACCATCACCCCCCCACCTGCTCCCTCCACCATCACCCCCCACCTGCTCCCTCCACCATCACCCCCCACCTGCTCCCTCCACCATCACCCCCCACCTGCTCCCTCCACCCACCCCCCTGCTCCCTCCACCATCACCCCCCACCTGCTCCCTCCACCATCACCCCCACCTGCTCCCTCCACCATCACCCCCACCTGCTCCCTCCACCATCACCCCCCACCTGCTCCCTCCACCATCACCTGCCCCCCACCTGCTCCCTCCACCATCACCCCCCACCTGCTCCCTCCACCATCACCCCCACCTGCTCCCTCCACCATCACCCCCCACCTGCTCCCTCCACCATCACCCCCACCTGCTCCCTCCACCATCACCCCCCACCTGCTCCCTCCACCATCACCATCCCCCCACCTGCTCCCTCCACCATCACCCCCCACCTGCTCCCTCCACCATCACCCCCACCTGCTCCCTCCACCATCACCCCCCACCCCCCCCCCTGCTCCCTCCACCATCCCCCCCCTGCTCCCTCCACCATCACCCCACCTGCTCCCTCCACCATCACCCCCACCTGCTCCCTCCACCATCACCCCCCACCTGCTCCCTCCACCATCACCCCCCACCTGCTCCCTCCCATCACCACCATGCCCCCTCCCCCCCACCTGCTCCCTCCACCATCACCCCCCACCTGCTCCCTCCCTCCACCATCACCTGCTCCCCCCCCACCCCCCACCCCTCCACCATCACCCCCCACCTGCTCCCTCCACCATCACCCCCCACCTGCCCCCCACCTGCTCCCTCCACCATCACCCCCCACCTGCTCCCTCCACCATCACCCCCCACCTGCTCCCTCCACCATCACCCCCACCTGCTCCCTCCACCATCACCCCCACCTGCTCCCTCCACCATCCCCCCACCTGCTCCCTCCACCATCACCTGCTCCCTCCCCCACCTGCTCCCTCCACCATCACCCCCACCTGCTCCCTCCCCCACCCCCCCCTGCTCCCTCCACCATCACCCCCACCTGCTCCCTCCACCATCACCCCCCACCTGCTCCCTCCACCATCACCCCCCACCTGCTCCCTCCACCATCACCCCCCACCTGCTCCCTCCACCATCACCCCCACCTGCTCCCTCCACCATCACCCCCCACCTGCTCCCTCCACCATCACCCCCACCTGCTCCCTCCACCCACCTGCTCCCTCCACCATCACCCCCACCTGCTCCCTCCACCATCACCCCCCACCTGCTCCCTCCCCTCCACCCATCATCACCCCCCACCTGCTCCCTCCACCATCACCATCATCCCCCCCACCTGCTCCCTCCACCATCACCCCCACCTGCTCCCTCCACCATCACCCCCCACCTGCTCCCTCCACCATCACCCCCCACCTGCTCCCTCCACCATC